AAAGTATTAGGAATTTGCGGTCGTTTGGGCAGCTTTCTAGTTTTTTTAATGATTTATAAGTTTTGAGTATTTATCTTTGATTTAAAAGTGATGGTGAGAGAGCGGACCCACTTTATTTTATTATGATTAATTTCTGTTTTTGTTGCTTTTCTTCAGTTAGTGCTTAAAAATATTTTGGAAGAGTGATTAATTGATATGTCTTTGCCCTGACTTTGCTGCAGCTATTAGGAAAATTTCATTGAAATCGTTTACTTTTATTTTAATATTTTGTGTTCTGTTGAATTAAGTAGATACTGGGCTTGGAAAAGAAGGCAAGCACGACCTCAAGACCCTACGTACCAAAATCCTGTAGAACTCCTCTAACATATTTTTTAGTTTTTGAGCTTTCTAAACACAAATACCATATTCCTCAATGCGGTCATTAGTGGAAACTTTAATACCTCGTTAGATGTTTATGCACTTGCCGAAACCAAATCTAAAATTATTATATTAGTTTCATTACTTCACCACTCGGTGGGCAACTTCAAATCGTGCGTACATTTTTACTTCAAAAAGCTTCACTGAAAACCCGGCAGCCCTAAACCACTTGTAAAGGCCGTCATTTGCGGCTATCAGAGAAGCGACTTTTCAAAGTAATGCTTTAGATACAAGAAATATGTTCACTATCTATAAAGAATAGCTGTAACAATATTTTTAGAAGGCGAAACGTAAAATATATAGACATGGTTGATCGAGAGGCTAAAGAAAGAAACTAGAATGCTAAACTGTCCATTAATGATTTCTTAGGAGTCCTAGTTTCCCCTATGATCATCGGGGTCATAATTAGAACTGGAAACTAAGAGTTTTTATCGCTAAATAACGACATTAGCTTTCATATAAAAATACTGAATCAAAGACGTTTCCGGAAGTGGGTCAATCTATTGATAAGAAAAACCCCTTTCTCGGCAGCGAATACACATAAATAACGTGGTAATTTTCGATAAAACTCAATCGAAAAAAGATGTTTCCTCTAAGCCCGACTTGACTGTGCTTGTGCTCAAAAATGAGACCTTACTTTGTTTTTGTTGTTGTTGCAGCGTAATTTTATTGTCACAAAGAATCACATTGAACGACTTAGGAAATGATCTCGTGCTACTTTTTTCACTTTGTGACGTAATTTAATAGCAACTGACATTAATGGCGGTGACCGGTTTATGGCGCGCTGCGCTGCCATTCGTGCCACAAGTACTTAAAGCAATGCGGTAATAGTAGTAGATAGTTAGACTGGACGTTAGTTGACACAGTGTGTGTGTGTGTCTGTGTTGGGCAGCGGCAGTTAAAGTAACTAAATTTACGCTTTTGCGTGCTGCCTAAAATAGTCGCTGCTAGGCTTAGCTTACAATGCATAAGCTTATGGTCAGGCATTAGGTTAGAGCTAAATTTACATTAGTATTTATTGGGGTTTTACTAATTGTAATCTTCTACTATTGTCAGAGAGCTTGTACAATTTAAATGGTGTTGTTTTGGTTGTTGTTACAATTTGCATATTTATGCTAATGCGCTGTAAGAATATTTATATTGTTATACCCTGACCGGGGTATATTTAATTAACCACGAAGTTTGTAATACCCAGAACAAAATGTCGGAGACCCTACAAAGTATATAAATAGATACTTGTATATAAATTATCAGCGTGACGAGCTGCATAGATTTATCCATGTCCGTCTGTCTATTTGCTTTTCCGCCTGTCTATATATACTTGAACTAGTCTCTCGATTTTTGAGATATCGATCTGAAATTTTTCACACGTGCTTTTCTCTCCATGAAGCTGCTCAGTTGTCGGAACCGCCGTTATCGAACGACTGTAGCATATAGCTATCATACAAACTGAGCGATCGAAATAAAGTGCTTGTATGAAAAGCTTTTTCATTTGAAGACATATCTTCACGAAATTTGGGTCGAATTATTATTTAACGCAACGGTACAATCTCTGCCGGAATTGTTTAGATCGGATCATAGTAAGATATAGCTGCCATACAAACTGATCGATAAAAATTCAGTCCTTGTATGAAAAACTTTTTTATTTGCCAATATATCGTCATCGAAATTTGGCATAGAACATTGCCTAAAACAGCGCTATAATTGCCAAATAAATTGTTTTGATCGGACCACTATAGCATATAGCTGCCATACAAACCGAACGATTAAAATCAATATAAATAATATATATTTTTATACCCTTTAATGCTGTAAGAAATGCACCTGTGAAGGGTATTATAGCTTCGGTGCAGCCGAAGTTACGTTGTTTCTTGTTTTATATATGTATGTACGTGTAAATATATGTAAATATGAATGTTTGTGTACGTAAAGCGTTATCTTTATTATGCCCATACATTCTCATAACAGCATTGCCGCCTTTGGACCAAATCCGATTTTATAACCCGTGTCATTTTACAATACCGCTTACCGGCTGCGCGTGCTGACGTTACATACATATTAGCATACATACACACATACAACTTAAAATAAAGCTTTGCGCACTTAAATTCATATTTGCTGCCGTCTGCCGCAATATCGTTCATATGTGTGTGTGTGACATGTGTGTGTGTGACTTGTGTCTGCTTGCCATTGTGTATGCGCCGATGTGTATCACATTTTGCAGCACCTTTTCTTTCCATAAGTCTTCACCCTCTGTCACTTTTCTTTACCTACTCTAATACATTCTACTTTGCTATTAATCCAATTGCTTTTATGCTACTTGTACTTCATGCTTCTTTTTCTTTCACATTTGCTTTTATCATTACAATATTTTTTCAATGGCATTTTATAGCCGAAACCGTTAGACAGCGCATACTAACTAACTTACTAGATTACTAGTTGCAGCTAACTTTGAAAAATATACTTACAGCCACATACATATAAATATATATATATAAAATATGTGTGTATGTATGCACTTATATGCTGCTACAAAATGCTATTTCATATGAAATTTTTTCTTTGTTGCACTTTTTTTCCATAACCGCATTTTCCTTTGTGGCAGCACCGCATAAATGCCAGCACATATGCATACATACGCTCACACTTATAGTCGTTTATAAAGTGCGCGTACAAATGTCGTTTAATAAATAAAAATGTTTGTGTAGCAAACAAATGTGGCGATTGCCCTGCTCTAGCACTGGCCAGCTGGCTACTTTGCAAGTACAAGACCAACCGTCGCGGCGCGGTGCGGCGCGGAGTTATCTCTTTCTCTAGCAACGTACTTGGTACTTGGTTGCTGCTTGGCCAGCGGAGCGCTTAGAAAGAAGTTACTGGGTAAGTTAATACAAGTTTATTTTATAGAGAAACTGCTGAGCGTCAAAATAAAATAAGAACAAAAATAAAACATCAAAAGAACGAAAATAAGTGGCAAAATGGAAAAAAAGTAAATAAGGCGAGGAAAAATAACACTAGAAAGGTGTGACTTCGGTAGCAACGAAGCTTAGATAACTTGCTCGCCAACTTTGTAGTGGACACAACTTTTATATGATTATCACTACTCAACTTATTTGTGAGTTAGGGGAACGAAAATGGAAGTAGGAAGTGTTGTTTCAGTTTAGTGAATAAATTTCGAGTAAAGAAATCCATAACCTCTAAAATCTTTGAACAAATATTTATATGGGGCGTCATAGTTTTTTGTATTTTTTGAATAAAACACGCCCACTTCTTTCTACTGAACTAAGCCGACCAAAGGAGGTGAGAAGTTTTGGCAAGAAAGCTTAATATTTACAACACATATATTTAGATATGCATTCATACTCGCTGTCACCTTTTCCTTTTAATTTTTTATAACTTCCAGCGATAGAAATGAACATTTGACTCAGAGTGACTGACGTGAAAAAAATTACACGAAATATGAGCAGTCTCCAAAAAAAATATTTTAAATTTTAATGGTTGGTTACTAGTCTGAATATTTTTTTTTACCGCCACTAGTCTTTTTTTCTTAGTCAACAAAAAATATATATATAAAATGTAAAGACATCTGATGTTGAGTTCAATATTAACTAGCTTTACTGTAAACATATTCTGGCTGACCTCCAATTGAACCGAACGATATTTTTGAGTATAGTGTATTTCTAATTTGACCACGAGTGTCAGAAATTAATGTACCGTTATTTTCGATGTAGGGTTGGCTACCATATGAGAAGACAAGTGATTTATAGGAAATCATTTTAATTTTTAATTCTTGCAAAATTTCTGAAAACTTATCGATAAAAAATCGATTATATGGTAGGTGGGCATAGTCAAAATATAATTTAGAAATTTTAGCATAAATTTTTACATATTTATCGATAACATATCGATTATATGGTAGGTGGGCGTGGTTTTAAACGATATCGATAACTTTATAGCTGCACCAGATAAGCTTTGGTATTGAAAATTATAATATTAGTCGCGTAAGAGTCTCTAATTAGGCTCAAATGCATAAACTGTTATATGAAAAACGATTTTAAATCGATATAGCTTATTATCGTAGTTGCTTAATAAAAATTCTGATAATAGCTAAGCATGTTATAGCTTTTTTTACATTTGTTATTTTTATTTATAAGAGCAAAAAGTATACTAAAATTTTCAAAAGCAATTTTTTCATATTTTAACCAAAATTATTGTAAGCATCAAAGTGCAAACTATATGTTGAACGCTTGCGTGAACTAGCAATTTTTTTCAAATTTGTGGTTATTATTTTTATTAATAATACCAAGAATTATTTTGTGTTTTTGTTAATATTTATTTGTGTATTTTTAAAATATATGTTATATTAATTTTTTTTAAATTTTTGTTAATTATATTAACAGTTATTAATTTTTTTCCATTAATAACATATTATTTTTTACTTTGTTGTCGTTGTTGTTTGGTTTGGTGAGTTTCCTCTGCTTAACCCTTCCCCTTAAATGTTTTTTTTGTTTGTAAGTGTTTTGGATTCTTGTGTTTGTGTGTGTGTGTTAAATATATGTTAAGCGTGCAATTAAACAAAAACTCACCTTCGCAGTGAAGCCCATTGCCGTGATAGCCGGGAAAGCAGGTACACGTGAAGCTGCCAAGCGTGTTGATGCAGTGCGCAAACACATCGCATGGACGATATTTGCACTCGTTTTCATCTGTAAGCGTTTAGGATTAAGCATTAGTTTAATTGTGCACTGGCGTTTGTGGCGTTATATTTATGAGCGTTTTCTTGTTTGTTGTTGTTGTTTAAAAATAATTAATTGTACTTATGTAGTTGAAGTTTAGCAGTTATTATTGTTGTTGTTTGTATTGGTATAGGCAAATGTATGTATGTATAAAGTAAAATTAATATTTTTTACTGGTATTTAATTACTGCTGAGCTAAGCTTCTTAAATTATATGCTACAAATTTACTATGCGTAAGGCTGTGCTATGTTAGCTAGTGTTCAATATTTTAAAAAAGTTTTAAAACATTTTGGTAAATTAATTTAGAGTGTTTGTGATTTGAACTGGCTAATTTTAACTTTTTATTTTATTAATTTGTATAAATACCCTTTAAAAACTGCGTGTGTCAAATTATTATAATTATTTAGAATTTTTTATATGTAAGTATAATTTACTTAATTAGCGTTCGTTGCAAGCTTCAATTATTATTTTTTTACATATTAGTTTCTTCAGCTAAGCTTTTACGTGTTTGCCTTATATTTGAAGTAATTATTGTTAACTATTGTTAATAATGTTTAATTTGGTAATTAAAAAAAGTAAATTTAAAATAATTTTTTGTAAATAAATTCTTACCTTTAGCTATTCAGAGTAGTTTTTATGATAAGATATTATTATTAAATTAGTTATTATTAATTAATTAAATTAAATTAATTAATTAAAAAATTAGTATAATTTTAAATAATTTTTTCGTACTTAAATTCTTACCTTTAGCATTTCAGTGTAGTTTTTTAGGCAGAAATTAAATTTAATTAATTAATAGAAGTTAAATGAAATTAAAGGTATTTACTTACATTAATTTAATTAAATAAATAATTAGTTTTTTTAATGTAAATCTTTAGTAACAACTGCTCTGAGTAGTAAAAATCTAATATAAATTAATTAAATAATTTTTTGTCAATAAATATTATTCATAATTATTACTTCAGAGTCCACTAATTTTTCATAATTAAAAAATATGTATTTTTAGTTATTAATTATCAGTAGTTTTAAAATTTTAGAACTTTATAAACAATAAAATCTATTTAATTAAAATTTTTGATTGCCAACAATTCTACTACAATATCAGCTACTACCTTTAGCATGCTACCCTAACCACCTGCACTATCTTTTAACTCCACATTTTATTATACCTATTGTTTGGCAATTGAAAACTAATTTTTTTTCATTTTCACTATTTAAATTCTCTACAAATACTTTGAGCTTTGCACAATCACACAGCCAAATTGAAGGAAATCCTTTTCCAGCAATTCGTACCGCTTATAAACTTAACAATAAATCTTAATTACCTTACAACTAACTGCAATACATTTTGCAATTACTGCTCATCGAATGACTCTATCAATTATATACATACAAACTTGTAAATATGTATATATTTGAATTTATCGCTCACTTACCTCGCTCACTGCAATTGCAACCGCCAAAACCGTCGTTACAATGGCAAACGCCATTTAGGCAAACACCATTCGTGCACTGAGTGCCTTCCTTATCACAGTCATCTGCAATTAAAAGCGTAAACGGAAATTACAATTTAACATCGTAAAGCATTTATATAATAGGATGTGCATTAATATTAGTGCTTTGTTGGCATTTGAAAATTAAAAGGAACAATTAATGAACATTTAATTTAAATTTTTTATTTTATTTAATAATTTTTTTTTAATTAGCATTTTTTTCTAATTTCAATTTTAATTTTCATTAAATTAAGTTAATTTTTTTTTCATTTCAAATTTAATTCATTATTTAATCATTCATTATTTTATCATCATTATATTACAATAATTTAAATTAAAATATTAAATTTTAATTCAATTTAATTTTTTTCCATTTCAAATAAATTAATTTTAATTGAAATTTAATTGTTTTTAATTTTAAACTTAATTAATATTAATTTCAATTTATATATGGTATATATACTACTTCGTTAGTATTTGAAAATTTAAAAGAAAAACTTAATTAAAACAAAATTTATTTACCATTTTTTTAATTTAAATTGTTTAAATTTTTTTTTATTTCAAATTAAATTAATTTTAATTAAAAATATATTTTTAATTTTAAATTTAATTAATTTTAATTAAAAATATATTATTCATTTTTAAAGTAATTAAAATTTTATTTAAATTAAAAATTTTAATGATCGTTTACTTTATGAATAGTTAATTTTGATTAATATTTGTAGTTTTATATTTTATTAATTTTAATTTCAATGGAATTATATTTAGTACTTCGTTAGTATATGAAAATTGAAAATTTAAAATTTTTAAAATAATTTTTAAAATAATTAAATTTTAATTTAAACTGTTTTCAAACTAAATTCAAGTTAATTTTAATTTCAATTTTAATTTTATTAAAATTACATTTTTTTTTGATAAAAATATATTTATCTTTTCAAAGTAATTCAGATTTCAAATTTAATTTCAATTTCTTTAATTTAATTTTTATTTAATATTATTTTTAATTGATTTTTAACTTAATATATTTCTTAAATTTTTTTATTGATTTTTTATTACTCACTTGTGCATTTGAGCTCCTCTCTCAGCTCATCGGCACCGAGAAAACAATCTCGCCTGCCGTCGCATAATTTCGATAATTCGTATAATTGTAAATAATCTGTAGACTCATTAACTTGACAGCCGAAATAGCCATCTTCAAGATTTAGGAAAAATACTTCGCCACCAAAACGGCTATTTTTCAAATGCGCTTGGTCCGATCGTATCGTTTTGATTTGTGAATGTACCTGCAGGACGAGAAAGGAAAATACAAGAAATTAGTTAGTGAAAATTCAGTAATTTCAAATGTATTTAAATAAAAAAAACTTTAAAAGTTAATATCAATTTTGCTTCGAACTAAATTTTATGCTCAAAAATACTTGAACTGCGAAGAAATATTGCACGGAACTGAGCGAATTATACAAAACCGTAAACCGAAAATGTTGCAAAGCATATTAAATTTTTGTTGCATGCCTAAAATTGGTTCTCACATTTCCGGGTTCTACTTTTTGGCAATTCATTGGTTCATTAGTAAAATTTTAAGTTTCTATTTGTGAAATATTGTTTTGGCGTTTGCTCTTTTCTGCCGATTTTCTCATTTTTTCTAATTAGTGTAATATGTAATAACTGCCTGTAGTTAATTTGTTTTGCATTTTATTCTTCAATTATTTGCCGTGAAATATGAAAAAATCAATTAAGGAAGTGCAGAAATGTGAAATGAGCAATATGAATGAGTGTACGAAATTGGCAATTACGGGTTATTCAAGCCTAAAATGCTTCAATCTACTATATAATAGGTACATATATAATGTGTGTACGAGTATATTCCGTACTATGAGAAATATAGCAGCTAGTCAATTAAAGCTTTTGCATAAAATTTGAGAATTATTAATATATTTATTGAATTATTGATCGCATCTTCAATCATCTTTTAAAAAAAATATTATTATGTTTAAATATTGTTTATTTGCTATAAATTCGCATGATTTCGAAAGGATTATTTCTACTTTTAGAGTGAATGTCTCTCGATATTACAGTATCAACTGATGAGGCTACCTGTCAGGCTGAATGTACATACTAAGAAATGGCAAGAGTGAAGGAACAATTCGTACTTTACTTGATCGAATTATTGAGGTAAAAAATTTTAAGCCGAGCTAGGTACTTTCCATTTACTTCAAATAGATGTTTGCATTTAAAGCTTCGCGACAAGATGCTACAAACGCGATTGTAACTGTCACTTCGAATAAAAATGTAAACTTTAAAATTGCAATTAATATTAAAAAAAGTTAGAAAAATGTTAATGTTGTAGATCTCAAAATTTACATTAGAAAGTAATTGTTATAACAATAAATCGTTTACTTTATGAATAGTTAAAGCGTTTGAGAAGTGTATGTGGTAAATAACCATGGGAACGAAATAGGGCTCAAAAAGCGCGATTCGCCTAAAATTATACTACAGATAACAATCTTTGTGCGACTCGTAAGAAAATATATAAGACATCGATCTGAAATTTTGCACCCGTCCTTTTCTCAATAAAAAGCTGCTCATTTGCTATACTACACCATACAGCTGCCATACAAACCGAACTATGTATTGAAATAAAGTGCTTGTATGGAAAACTTTTTTACTTGAGTATATATTTATACGAAATTTCGCATATACTATTGCCTCAGTCAATGGTGCAATTTCTTGAGTGATTGTTTAGATCAGATCACTATAGCATATAACTGCCATACAAACTGAACGACCAAAATCAAGTTCTTGTAAGGAATCTTTTTTATTTGTGAAGGGTATTATAGCTTCGATGCAACCGAAGTAAACGTTTTTTCTTGTTTTTTTATTGAGAAAATCTCTAACAATAGTTCATGCAAAGTGTTTTTTAAAATATTATTATTTTTTGTTAAATTGTTCTTCACAACTTTTGCATGCTATATTGTTATGCTTCGTTGCGCGTTTTCGTCGGATAATGAATCTTTAATTTCTACGTATATTTCAGTTTCAATTGAGAATGTTCTAACAATGATGTTCGACTATAAGTAAGTGAAATTAATAATATAAAATTAATATAAAACATGAGCAAATAAGAAACTAGCGTAAAACTAATAGATTTTTCATCACAATGCCTTAGAGGGAAACGAGTTGAGTAAGGTTGAACTATGGGTTTAAAAGCGCGACTAACCCTTACTACACCACGCCATGCTTGAATAATATTACCAAAACAATTTTGCTTTCCGCCTGGCCTTTGGCAGATACAAAATTTTCACAAACGTTAAACTAGTTTTAGAACATTTTCCAAACATTTTACGAAACTATAATGCCATATAGAGTATAATTGATGGCATATGCTAAATTTTATACCGCAAATGAGCGCAAAATTGAAAATTCACCAAAAAAAAAAATGAAAATTATGTGAAATGTTTTAATAACTTCACAAGCGTGTGGGAATCGATTTTTCCACCAGTGATTAGCTGCTTGAAACCACAGAGGCTATTGACTTTCGCACACTGCTGCACGCTTATGCCAGCGGCCATCACTACGTATATACACATACAGAAATATATATTTCTTTTAACCAGCAGCGTCTGTCAAGTTCAAGTTTGTGGATGCGCCGATTTTATCAGCTGACACTGACTGTGCGATTGACTGACTAACTGACTGACTGCTTTGACAGACAGACAGCATCGCATTGCCTGGTAAGCGCGCGTTAGACACGAGCTACCACATGCCTTCCATTGACACTGTGGCAATTAAGTGCTACTGCTATTGTTTTTACCATTATTGTTGCTTTACAACATTGTTGTCAAATATCGGTGGAATAAGTGTGGTTGCAATGTATGTTCGTATGTGCCCTTGTATGTGTGTTATTGCAGCGTAAAAAATCGACTGAAGTAATCTATAATAGTGACCTTGCGGCAGGCATGCTGCTTCATGATTGAATTGAAAAAATTTGCAAATTTATTCAATAGATGTGTGCAACAACAACAACAACAATCACATTAAATGGCTGTTGTGCTGTTTTTTGAGTTTTTGTATGTATGTATATGCTATTGTATTTGAAAAGCTCATCATTGTTTTAATGCTACTGCACTTTTAGTTGTTAGCTGATGACAGTTGTGGGCATAATAATGTGCACAGTTTAAATTTTTTCTGTAGAAATCAAATTATAAATAGAAATCAAAATTTAGGTTTAAAATTCCAAATTTGTATAAAAAAGATAAAATAAAATTATTATAAAAGACAATTTATAAAAATTATAAAATATGTAATTATATATAAAATATAAATTTTAATTTTAAAAATTAATGCATATCAAATTATACATTTTATAAACTTTTATCTTATAAAAAATTTAATTTTATAAAAATTTTAATTTTATAAGAAAATTAATTTTAATTTTATTAGAAAATTAATTTTAATTTGTGATTATTATAAAAGAACTAAATCCTTAAAAACAAAACAATTATATTTTTTTTAAGTTAAGTTTTTCTTGTTGATGTTTTTAAATTCTGTTTATAATTTTTCAAATTTCTTTGTTTTGTAATTTTTATTTTCAAATTTTAAGTCTAAAGCTTAGCAAATAAAAAATTACAAAGCATTAGTTTTTGAAAAATTTTAATTTTAGAAGAAAATTAATTGCTATTTGTATTTAATATAAAGCAACTTAATCTCAAAATAAATAATCATCAAAATTAATTTTTTATTTGCAGGTAAATATTTTAAAATTATTTTTATAATTTTTCAAAATTTTATATTTTTGCTACTTTTTATTTTTACATTTTCATTCTAAAGCTCCAGACGTCAGCAGATAACAAATTATAAAGCAAATATTATAAGCAAAAATATTTTTTTTTATTAAAATTCGAAATATACCTAATTATATACCCAAAACTGTATCTTTTCGCTTTATAGCTCTCAGTACATGCATGTATTGAATAAAAAAAAGTAAAAAAGGATGATTGTCAAAATGCAACAACAATTTCACAACAATCGCATAACACCTAGCTGTGCTTATAAAAACCACAACAACATCAATAATAATTAAAAATAAATCGCAGACAATGCCGCGCATCAAAGTGCTCCCATGACATTGCTGCCAACAACTCGTGCCGCAGTCGCGCAACTGATGCCAACGATCACATGCGCGCGCAGCCAGCATTGTCAAGTGCAGTCGCGCTGGCAATTAAAAGTATTAAAACAAGTGCATACGCGTGTATCAGCCAGTAAATGAGCACATCTATATTAGATTTTGTAATATTACGTGTGAGTGTGTGTTTGCTTAGTTTATTTTCTTCATCGTTCCACAAGTAGCGCAACCTTTGCATTGAAAGCGTGAGCTCAGTTTGAGCTGCTTTCAAAGCAGAAATATAGAAAAGCTAAAGAGGGTAAACAATAGTTACCGTTATAATTGTTAACTAGCGTGGTTTCTATTGCAACCACTGATCTGAGTTGCAACTGTCAATCGGAGTTACTTACATACACACATATGTATGTATAAAAAAATTATATATGTATATTATAGGTATATGTGTATAAATATTATATACATTTGCTGCTGATAGGATTTTTGTTTTTGTATTCCAATGCCATAAAAGCGTCAATCGCGTGCCTTGCACTAATTTCTGCCTCTTTTATGGTTTTGTGTTAGAAAGCTGGAATTGTATCAATTTTTTTGCTAGATTTTTTGTCCTAAATATATGTATATGTATGTTCACACAGCTATTAAATAATTAGTTGCTGCACTTCACATTCTTGTTTTTTAACTTAATTAACACCAATTATTAGCAGTTTGTTGTTGTTTTGCTGTGCGCATGTGTGTGTATGGCAAAAAAGCGCACAAAAAGATAACGTTAGTAATAAAAAATAATATTTGGCTGCTGGAGACAGAAATTTCAGAGGTAGCTTTCATTAAAAATATATTGTTTAAAAATTATAATATAAAAATTTATTTTTCACGATTTTATGCGAAAAAGATAAAATTTATGTATATTTTAAAATTTTTTTATAAAAATATTTATAAATGTTTATGTAAGTTTCATAAAAAAAATCAACGCTTTTTTTGTATAAAATTATAACTGCTTTTAAATTGGTAATTTTTAATATGATTTCGGTCAATTATTTACGTTTTTTAGTAGAAAAGGTACAGGTATCATTTAACTAAAAAAAAATTTTTTTTTGGTCGATTTATTCTTATATTTTGAATCAGTTTGCTTGAAAATCTTTATTTAGATTATTGAAATTTAAAACTCAGAATTTATTTTTAAGCCATTAAATTCGTGCTCCTAACATTTAAAATCGATTTTTGGCAGATTTTGCCCGAATTTTTTTTAAATTCATTTAACTTAGCTTTTAAGTTTTAGTAAAATAATTTCCTATTACTGCGTTATATGTGATTTATGCAACGAAATAATTCGCTAACATATGAAAACTTAAAACGAATCAATTAAAAGGGAAGCAAGTTCGGCGCTTAAGTCTTTAGCTTGCCAATTAGAGTATTCGTATGAAGGGAAAAACAACAAAAAATTAGTTGAATAAATAGAAATTAGAGATTTGTGGCTTTTATTAGCTAGTTTTTTATGATAAAGTTCGCTTAAATAATTTTTTAATTTTTTTTATATATTACATATAACATTGGTTTTGAAAAAAAAATACGGTGAAGAAATACATACTATTTCCATGAACTTGTGTGTACGTACTGCGGTTGGTGCTATCGTTATTAAATAAATTAAAAAAACTAAATAAATGAATAAAATTCGAGTAAACTTGATTTCAACTTTTTACACAATCAAATCTATATTTTGACATGACGTAATTTTAACAGCACATACACAGCTTATTTATTTTGATTTATGCCGTTAAAGTAACAATTAATATTTTTTTCCTATGCGCTGCAAATTACGTAAGTTATTAGTTTGTTAACGGTTAATCACATTAGTTGTCTATTGAACTCTGTTTGGCAAAGTCGAAAAAGGAATTGCGAAAGAGTCGTCGACTAATGCCGAACGATGACAAAATTGATTGGCAGTTAATAATATAAGACACAAGACAACAACAACAACAACAAATGCAAGCAAAGGGGAAGTAAAAATCCTAACAGTATAAAATAAGTCAATAACCTTTCTACATGGATATTAAACCAATTGGCAATTTGTGCGCGCGCTTACGTTGTGCGCAGCGTAAAACTGTACATATACATATGTATGCACATATTTGACTTTGTACTGCTACGAGCTTATTAATAATGGCTGTTGTAGCTGCTTAATTGGCTTGTCGTTTGGTGTGTATTTGAGATTAGTAGCTGTTGTAGGCGTTTGCTTTGATTTGTTGCAACTTAATTTTGGAAATTTGGCAACTAAAGCCTTTTTGGGATTTTTTTATAACAGCCAACGCCTTAATTTGTCAGGGTAAAAGTTCTTGCAAATGTTGACCGCAAATACCCTTTAACCTGTGTGTGTACAAAACTTGTATATTGTGTTGAAATATAAATTAAGAGAAAAATGTATTCTTTCATAAAAAATGTGGAAAACGGTTGGCCTCAAGGGCCATCCCTGCAACTTCCCTCTAATTTCATACGCTAACGTCCAAATTTCGCTTTTTTCACTGCTTTTGAGCTCTTCGAAATTTTTCGTTTTCGATATCTAGCAAGTAAATCAACCGATTTCGACCCGGTTTGCGGCAAACGATGTGTTTCTTCAAGGTTTAGAACTGATTAGTTTTTGGTGTCGATCGGTCAAGTCGTTTGGAAAAAATTCGAAAAAAACGATTTTTCAAAATTTTTATTTTTGAGATTTCTCGAAATCTACTGGTCCGATTGGGTCCAAACTTACACGAAATTCAAGTGCAATGAAACCCTTTGGAATGCCGTTTAGTTTATTCAAATCGGTTGAGCAGTTCAATAGTTATAAGAGGGTCACATACATCCACACACACACACACATACATCCACACATACATACAGACATACGGACATCATCGTTGAAATGTTCGGGAAAGCTTCCTCGACCCTCAGAACGTCGAGATCTGTTGAGAACTCGATTTTTGCAAAATGGGGTGAAACCAATATCTTCCCGATTTTTAGAAAATTTTCCATTTTCTAAGCGGGAAGTTAAAAAAATATTCATAGGTCTTACGTAAACATAAAACCACATAAAGTAAGATCGCAAACAACAATAAAACTAAAAATAATGCGTATAACAATATATTTTCACTTAACTTAACAAAACTTACCGTTACCTAAAATGACTTAACTTAATATAGCATTACTTAACGAAGCATAACATAACTTTATCAAAGCAAAACTGATTTTAACATAAAATAATTAAACTTAACTTAACAAAGCGTAACGTAACAAAATATAACATAACTTAACGTGGCATATTTTAACTTAGCGTAGCTAAAATTAACTTAACATAACATGACTTAACTTACCATAGCATTATTTAACGTAGCATAACATAACTTTATCTAAATAAAACTGAATTTAACTTAACAAACTTAACGTAATATAACATAACTTAACGTAGCATATTTTAACTTCACGTAGCTAAATTTAACGTAACATAACATGACTTAACTTAACATAGCATTACTTAACATAGCATACCATAACGTTATCAAAAAAAACTGAATTTAACGTAACATAACTAGGCGTAGCATACATAACGTCATCAAAACAGAACTTAACGTAACATAGAAAAACATGACGCCATCAAAACAGTTAAGTTCGATTTTTAACATAGAAAAACATAACATAATTTAACATAACATATTATAACTTAACGTAACGTACCAAAAAAGAGAAAAACATAACATAACCTAAAGGGTCTTCAATAACCAAAAAGCGCAATTAACTAAACACATTTAATCTCTTGATTAAGTCCACATCAAGAAGTTGCATCAAAAAATAAAAAATTCCACTTTCTAAATATGCATTGGGTATAAATTTCACACCATCTTTAACATCTGTGAGTTTCGAAATTCGTCTTTTGGCATGTCTGTGCAACAAATCAATGACTACCTTGGCTATTTACTTATTTTACCTTTCCATTGATAGGTTTTGGTTTTTATTTTACCGCTAAGTTGGCTATTTTTCTGCATTACCTTGATACTATTACTGTTATTGTTGCTGGATGGCATTTCATTAGTAGGGATTTTCGAATTTCAGCGGTCAAGTTACAAAATATTCATCATACTTTGCCGCTCTTGTGTGTATTTATGTATGTATGTGTGTATATATGTATATATGTATATATGTAAGCATCAAGTATGTGTGCATATATGTGTATGTGTGCGTAGACACATCAGCTTTGCCAGCGATCGCAGTCGTTGACCGCTCCCGCTGTCGGCATTGCGCTTACGAACCAACTGACAGCGATCGAGTGTTTGTCATTTGTTGATTATTGTTTTTGTTGTTTTGCTTTTCTAACACTACATTGTTATTGTTGGTTCAACTTTTCAAATCGCGCTTTCTTTCGCTTTGGCATTTCGCCGCTTTTGGCTGTTGGTCGGGTATATAGATAAACTTATTGTTGTTGTAGCTTTTTTGGTGTGCTTTAAGCTTCCCACTCGGCAGTAACACATTTACCTATTTTCAAAACTTTCTGAATTTTTGCGCGAGTGCTGTGAGCGGGTCGGGATTGCGTCCGTCTTTGTCGTGGCTCATTAGAGATATGCAGATTGTGAAGATTTGCTTTTCATAATGAAATTTTTTTCCTTATTTAATTTATTTATAAATATATTTTTTTTGCGTAAGTCAACTGCTCTTAATTACCTCATTCAGCGCTTGTTTATTGTTCGTGAAATTCACAAAATATATCACTTTTCTTGCTTTCAGGCTTTCACATAAAATCATGCAAATCTGCGGATAATGAACTTTCTTCGAAGTTTCAAAGGAAAACGTGTAGAAAAATGCTTGCTGGTCATAATACAATAGTTATCGATTATATAATGGCTTCAACGAAATCGCTGCAAATATTATGTATGTATTTATAAACAAATTCTTATTTACGAACATATACACATACACTTCCCACATCTATTTATTTTATTTATTGAGTCTTGCTTTTAATACGAAAGTTGTACTATTCATTTGCCAACACCGTTAGACGTGGTTAGTTGCAGCTTTATCTCTTTCAAGATTTAATTTTATAGTTCATTTAACATTTCTGTGAGGTCAAGCCCTAGCTAAGTTGATTAATTTATTTTCTTTCCATTTCTATTTCTAACGCTGTGGCATCTTTATTGTTTCGCTTTTGTTCATCAATTGACGCTGCAGTAAGCAGCCGTTTTCATTATTGATTCAAATAAATTCTTTAGAATTTTTTACGCTGTAAGACTTTGCAGTTGCTCTAAAACACTTATTATGATTTGTTGTTGGGTTTACGCTTTCTTGGAAGCTGGAGTATGATCATCTAATCGGAATTTGTTTATCATTGTATTACTTGTATGTGCATTTATAGTTCCAAATTCCACAGTTAGTCAGCACAATATGACTCATATGAGATTACTGTATTAGCAAATATTTGTAGAATACCAAAAGATACCCTAAATTAGTTAGAAAGCGGTTAGAAAGAGAAGCTAGTCGCTTCAACTTGACTTGTGAACAGACTTAGTAGGTATCCAAAGTAATCGGCGTTGTAATCAAGTTTACATCATTTCTATTGCATCATACTTAAGATAGAAGGTGGTCTCTGTCAGTACTAGAACCATATAAAAATCACTCTCACAGGTCTTTGATCCTCAGACTGATATAACCACCGAGCAATATATATTATATATGCACTCTTTAGCTAGTGTTGTTGTATGCGACCCAATAAGCTTTGCCATGCATCTCAGAACAAAAAAAAATAATCTCATTGCCTTGCAGCAGGTTCGTTGCTTAAGTCTTTTGTGAAAATAAAAATATGTGCGCTTCTCTTTACTTCAATCATTATTTTTACTATACTAAAAATATTTCTCGGTAGCACTGTTTACCTGCATCAATAACAAAAATTTAAAATTTGCTTTTATGCTGCAGAACATATTTATTTTGTTTTTTTTATGCATATTAAAGTTACCGCTTACTAAATTCTTCACCTAATAGTTGACTTTGTTGGCTCTGCACAATGGTTGCCTGATTAAATTTACAACAATGGCAAAGCATATGGTAAATGTATAAAAGCGAAAACAAAAACAAAATAATTGCTGCTTTGCTTTTTGTTAGCAAGCTTTGATTACCAGTGTATTAAAAATCGAACACACATTGTCTGCTTAGAAAAATGCTATAATTTCAGCTCTTTAAGCGACTCTCGTTGTTGTTTGTTTTGAAATATCTTTGAAATTCTAAGAATGGACATTTAATCAAACAGCTTATGTACAAATCTAACGAGCGAAATTTTGTAATAACAACACACATATACAAGTGGCTGTAAAGTAGTTGTTTTTATCGACAGGTTTGTTAGTCGAGCACTAGTGAATGCATTTAGATTGAAGTATTGTTTGCTTAAATGTATTAGTGTGTGTATTTGTGAACATACGTCTTAGACGCTTGCCACAGCAATAAAGAGCAAGATTTTCTTTAACTGTTATTTGTTAAAATTATGCAGCTGCTACTGAAATGGCTTGCCACCGTTCGATTTAAGCACGTATGTATTTACTTGTGGATGCCAATGATGGAACAAAATAAATAAAATTCTTTAATTTTAAGTACATATTTTAGTTCATATGTGTGGTTAGAGGTTGTAATGCTAAGTGAGTTGAGAGAGGCGTAAGGTTAATTCGTGCATAAACACTCGTATTTTTTGAATTTTAGTGATGAATCTGTGTTAAAATCTCTTTATTCAAACCAATACCATTTAAAGGCGTGACATTCGTAGAATGTTGTATAAAAATTTAAAGAAAAATTAATAAACAAGAAAAAAAATGGTAACTAAGGTTGCGCCGTAGCTATAATATCCTTCACAAATACAAATGCTTCCGTAAAAGCACTTGATTTCTGATTGGTATCGTTACTTCAGACAATAATCCATGCGAAATTTCATGAGGATATCTTCTCAAATAAAAAAAGTTTTCCATACCGGTATATGATTTTGTTCGTTTAGTTTGTATGGCAGCTATATGCTATAGTGTACCGATCTGAATAATTTCTTCAAATATTGCCCCGTTGCCTTAAACAATAATTCAAGCCAAATTTCATACAAGCACTTGATTCGGATCGTTCAGTTTGTATGGTAGCGATATGCAATAGTGGTCCGATAAACGAGCAGCTTCATGAAGAGAAAAGCAAATGTGCAGAGTTTCAGTTCGATATCTCTAAAAGTGAGGGATTATTTGACTGATATAATCTAAGTAAAAACCGTTGGCAGTTCTTTAAATGGCATACAATTTGGCTTTATCAGGCTAACCAGAACGTACATTTTATATATAATATGTATATGATAGTGTTCTATGGTATATGATAGTAATAATAAAAAAATTAAAGCGAAAATTAAAAAATAAATATTATTAAAAAAACAATAATAAAATATAAAAACTAAGGTTGAAAGCAGAGTAAAGCGTTATTTCAAAATGTCTGCGAAACAGCAATTATAGCCAAGTTAATTTACTTAACACACTTTACTTGCTGAAGACAATACTACGATTTCTAAATTCACTGTGGTTGCATGCATAGCGCTACTACGTTTATAGCCTTATATATATATGAAATTTTTTAATTTTTAGAATATGCTGACTTCTTTAATTCTACAGAAAAAAAAACATTTTTTTTTGCTTTTTGCACATAATTACTAAAAAAAAATTAATAATGGCAATAATTGCAAAGTTCCTTCTTACAACAGTAATTTTTACTTATAATAATAATTTGTAGAAATTCGCAAAATACTTACTGTACTCGAAAGTAGCACTATCCACGTGACTAGTGGCAAAAATATTCTCATTTTTGCTGCAAAGAGAGAAAAAAAATACATAAAATTAGATAACAAAAATCTGTAAATTGCAATAAATAATTTTCATAAATGTATTTAGCAGCTATGCAAATAATATAAATTATAGACGAGTTAGCGTAAATAACTGCTATCGAGCATTGCGCGCATGAGCAGACGAGTGGCTATAAATAAATAAGCAAACATAAGTGGCTTACAACAACACAAGTGACGGTAATTATCGGCACTATGCTACAACTATTGAAAAATAGAAGAAAATAAAGTAGAAAAGAATTAAAAATAAAAAATTAAAAATAGAAAAAATTAAAAACAGAAAAAAAAAATAAAAAATTACAAAATATTCAAAAAATGAAATGAAAGTCAGTTCTACAGCTTTATAGTAATAAAAACTGCTACAAGTATGTGGGAATAGAAACACAAAAACTAAAAATAAAATTGACAAAAAAGGTAAACAGACGTGTAATCACTGCGATGAAGCAGACAAACTGCAAAATATTGTAATTACACATTGAAATTGTAGGGAATTAAAATTTCGAACACGCTTCCGCATGCGAGTAAATACAAATATATATATGTGTGTATGTATGTTTGTGTTTATGTGCATAAGAACACGCTGAAAAATTTTAAGTGCCTGAGATATGCACACAAGACGAGCTAACAAACACATTGGCAATAAAAAATGGAATTTGAAAAAAAAAAATTGTGTGCAAAGCAAATGCCATTCTGATTTTGTGTAAAAAGAAATATACATATATATGTATGCAAATAAATAAAAAAGAAAAAAAAAATGAAAGGAATTGTATTAAAAGCGCGAAAAATCACAGCTTGAGCCTTACAGCCGATAAAAATGTGCGATAGAACTCAAGTGAGCAAGTAGCAAAAAAAATTATAACAACAACCCCCTCAAATGAAAAAAAAATTACAAAAATAAATATAAAGCTACAAGTGTACATTGACATGTTCGCTAAATGTCCGTCCATAACAGGTAAATGACACCACAGCAAACTTACTTTATTTATACATATAAATGTATGCCTACAAATATTTATACGTATGTATGTATATACATATATAAATATAAACATATGGTATATAGCTGAGCATTCCAAGCGAACTCAACGCGCCAGCCGGACAGTTGCTCATCATTAACGCACCTTTGTCACAGGCGGCTAATATCAACAAGGCGGCTAGTATTCGCTCCCTATATACATATGTATTTTTGTCTGTGGGAAATATTTCACATACAAATATACATGGTAATGGGTATGTGTGTTTGTTGTAAACCGCAAAGCACTGACAGGCCAATTGAGCGCTGCAGGAAATTGCCGCTGATGAGTCTAGCGGTGTTGTTGGCTCTTGATTGACAGTTAGCGGTATACAGGCATGCATGTACATATATATGTGTATGTGTGTGTGTATGTTCCATACGCTGCTTAACATCTTTGCGCCGCTATTTGAAATGCTTGAAGAAATGCTGTCTGTGTTTTTCGCTTGTTTTTTCAACTTTCATCTGCTGTTTTCTTCTTTTGTCTTTTTGTTTTTATGGTTCTTTGTTCTTCACTTTTAATTCGTTCGCCATCATTTCGCCTATTTGTCAATGCACGCTAGAATGAGGAAGTGAGTGCCCGCTTATCACAAATCATGTATCTAATGATGAGTTTTATTTATTGTTGTGTTTTGTTAAGCGTTTAGTAGTCGGGAGGAAGCATTGGAGGTTTTTCTCACACAATTATAATTTTTTTGTTTTTTTGATGTATGACCTTTTTGCGTGTAGCTTGTGGCAATTGTAAATTATATATATATATATATCTACATACGTTTTGTTGGTGTGCGCTGAGGCTTTTGTAGCGTTTTGTATCATCGCTATATCCGCTCGTGATTTTTAACGGATTACTTTTAATCGTCATTATTATCTTGCTTCTTTTGAATTTTATTGACAGTTAGAAATCATATTTTTGTAGGAAATATGAGTTATCAGGGCATAAAGAATAGTTGAAAATACCGCCAAAAATGCTTAATAAAAGCCATTAAGTTAAATGATAACATTTTTCGTTCGTAGAGGAAGTGCAGATGATATGAGGGTGATTGTAAAGCTTTAGAGTAGCTTTTTGTAAGCTTTCATATTAATAAGCTCTTGAACATTCTTTTACCTTTTTTGTCGGAACTTTTAAAATATAAAATTATATTTTTTGCCTCGTTTTTTGTCAAGTTCTCATTTGAATTTTGTTTATACTTTATTTCGATTAAAAATGCCTCAACCAGTCACTTCTCAAGCGTAAGCACCAAATTATCACTTGATCAAATTTGGCACGACTTTCGCCTTTCTTCTTTAAATTTATGTCTTTTCTTAATTTTTTAAAATATTTGTTTCATTAAAATTCGCATTTTATTATGTAAACACAAAAAAAAAGTTTGACCAGCAAAAATCAGCTGACTTTGTCATGTTCAACCATTAGCTACTTAATCAGATTGAAATTTCACAGCTGGTATCGCTGGCTTATATCGCTCTTATGTCATCATATTTTTTTGCATCTTATGTGACTCAGTTTATGGAATTTAAAAAAATGATATAAAAAAATTAAATAGTAAATTTTCATTCTTTCAATTCATCTCGCAGGTTGTGAAGCTAAATAAGTATTTTTATTTAATTCGAAGACATAACCTTTTCTATTTCACATTTTTATATGAACCATAACTTTTGGTATCTTTTTGTTGTTCTTTTCTAATTTAATGCTAACCATTCTCAGTCTGTTATCTCACACATCAATTTTGCTGGCGTTTTCGAAAGATCACTTAGTCAGAGTTTGCTGTTATTCAGTTAATAGTTGTCAATTCATTCACAATAATATATTCAACCAAAGCTCGCTACCGTTTTTGGTTTGCGTCTTCAATAAAAAAAATATTGTAATTATTTTAGGTTAGAAATATGGAAAACTTTTTGTAAGGACAACTTTTTTATTTGACAAGATAAATAATGTCAAATGTATTATTGTCAAAATATTTATTTTTTTTTTATAAAAAATTAAATTGTTCAAATTTAAGGTATATTTTATAAAGAAAAATAACTTCCAGAAATATTAATAATGTTTCCCGAAAACAAATATCTAAGACAAAATTAATTGTTTTATCAAATATATGCCAATACTATACAGGGATAAATTATGTCTCCCAGCAAACGCAATGATTGCTCTCAATATGTCTTAAAACGCAGTCAATCGCTACTGTAATAACAACAAATAAAAATTATTTGCATTGCAAAACAACTTTCAAGTCAGTATAATTAATTGCTAACAAATCGAATTGCAAGAATAAAATATAGCAAAATGGTAGTAAAAATACAACAACAAAACATCGTTGGCAGCTAACAGCGTACAAAAATCCTTTCTCTTTTATATGACCACTCACTGGCACAAAACTAAAACGTTTAAGTGCTTAGATAATAGCAAAGAAGTCAAAATCGATTGACACAATGTAGCAGTTGCCACAAGAAACCAAAATATATAGATGAAAAATAAAAATAAAATTTGCGAAAATATCAGTCATGCATTTAACTGCCACTGCCGCATGTGGCACGCACAATCGCTAAGAGATACGCCGTAACAAATAGCGTGTCGGTAAATAAGCGATTGCCTGACGGCCAACAAATGCCAAAACGGTGCGTGCGCAATTTTTCTGCGAAAACGTTGTGCGCATGCGCAACGGCGGCGCGGCTGCAGTAAGCGATGTGATTTATTTCGAGTGGCTAAATAAAGCACAGTGAAAAATACGAGCATGTCAGCCATTTAATGCGTAGAAAGCATGAAGCACTGGACCTACACTGCTGGCGGGAGCGAGTCAACAGCGCGAAGGGTGGCGAGCTAGAAGGAAAAATGCAACGATTTTTATAAAAATAGCAAACACATTGCTGTCTACCAAGTACCAAAGTATACTTTGGACATTTGATGACAACAACAGCGGTGCAAGGACGCTGGGCTAAGACAAAGGGTATGCAAAGTCAACAACTGGCTGCCCAAGGACCTGCGGCAAGCCCTTTTAAGCTGTGCTCATATGCAGCAGCGCGACAGTTTGACATTGAAAAAGTGTTATTAATTAGTCAAAGCGTTACGCAGGTCTATCAATTAGCCGATACTAAATTACAAGATTGAGTGCGGGCGCAGTCGGTAGATGAATAAAATGCAGAGCTGCAGCCAATTGCCGGCATCATTCAAGGTGAAACATAACAACAAGTGAGTGTGGTGAATTGTAGAGGCTGTGGAGACTCCACTAGCAGGTCGCCGGCCTTTGCCTTACCTTCACCGCCAGACAAAAGACTTAAACAACGCACTTGTCATTTGATAACAACTCGCTTATTGATGACTTTACAATGGCAATTTGCATGCAATTGGCTGGGGTGGACGCCAACTGCAGGCTGGTGGGCTGCTACCATATACATATAGAAATTATACATGAGTTTATATATAATATGTACTTCCAGCAACTCATTTAAAAGTCATAAACTACCGCATAATGGTTGCTGCTGGGGCGTAGTCAAAGGGTGTGTGTGTTTACGCTAAGCGCTAAGTAACGCAATGTGGAGTAGTTACCATAAAAGTACGCAAAATGTTAAAAAAATAAAATAAAATATTCAAAACCAATAAATCGTAGAATTGAGTGGTTGTTTTAGGGTGTGTGAGGCAATAAAACGGCAAGCACGTTGCGCTACTGAACTGCCTTATGAATGCTTTGATTGATTTCTGATTGAGCGTAGCAGACGTAAAAGTTGAATAGCATGACTAAGCTATCAGCGTATATATATATATATATATATATTTAAATATTAAAAAAAATGTTTTGGTAAGCCTTTATACTTTTATGCTCCAAGTTTGGTAATTTTTAAATACTTTTAATTCGTTTATTTTACTCCAAACCCAAAAAAATGTATAAAACAACACAAAAGATTAAATAAACCTTAATTGAATTGTATTTAAATAATAAATAAAATTTAAATCAGATTAAAAAC